AAATCCTCAAGAAAATTCTAGCCAATAGAATCTAACAACACATCAGAAGATCATACACCCAGACCAAGTGGTACGCAGGGATGGTTCAATATTCACAAATAAATCCATGTGATTCATCACATTAACAAACTGCTGAACAAAAGTCATATGATATTCTCAACACATGCAGAGAAAGCATTTGACAAAATACAACACCCTTTCATGATGAAAACTCTAAGTAAATTGGGTATAGAAGGGACATTCTTCAACACAATCAAGGCAATTCATGACAAATCCACAGCTAGCATCATATTGAATGGGGAAAGCTTGGAAGCATTTCCAATGAGAGCAGGTACCAGACAGGGATGCCCACTCTCACAATTGCTATTCAATATAGTCCTGGGAGTTTTAGCCAGAGCCATTAGGCAAGAAAAAATCATACATATACAAATTGAGAAAGAAAAATTCAAATTGTCTGGGGCTGGCAAAGTGACCCCCTTGGTTTATCCTCTGCCTGTGGCGCAAGCATCCCATATGAGTGCTGGCTTCCTGTCCCAGCTGCTCCTCTTCCAGTCCAGCTCTATGCTCTAGCCTGAGAAGTCAGTGGAGGATGGCCCAAGTGCTTGGGTGCCCAACCCAAGTTGGAGATCTGGAAGAAGCTCCTCGCTCCTGGTTTCAGATCAGCATAGCTCCAGCCTTAGCAGCCATTTGGGGGGTGAACCAACGGAAGGAAGAAAGACCTTTCTTTCTGTCTCTCTCTCTCTCTGTAACTCTAGCTGTCAAAAAAAAGAGGGGCCACCTCCATGGCTAATGTTCTGCCTGTGGATCTGGCATCCAAAATGGTGCCGGGTTCTGGTCCCGGTTGCTCCTCTTCCAGTCCAGCTCTTTGCTGTGGCCCAGGAAGGCAATGGAGGATGGCCCAAGTGCTTGGGCTCCTGAACCCGCATGGGAGAGCAGGAGGAAGGACCTAGCTCCTGGCTTTGGATTAGCGTAGCTCCAGCTATAGTGGCCATTTGGGGGGTGAATTAACAGAAGGAAGACCTTGCTGTCTGTCTCTCTCTCTCATACTGTGTAATTCTGTCAATAAATTTTTAAAAATTTAAAAAAAGAAAAAGCTCTATGGTGAGAATTACGTTTTGTTAAACAAAAAATAGAAGATAAAACAAATGGAAAAATCTTCCATGTTCATGGATTGGAAGAATCTATATCATCAAAATATCCATTCTTCTAAAAGCAGATTCAATGAAATGCCAACCAAAATACCAGAGACATCATCACAGATCTAGAAAATTGATGCTGAAATTCATATGGGACACAGAAGAACTCCAATAGCTAAAACAGTTTTACACAACAAAACCAAAGCCAGAGGCATCACAATACCAGCTTTCAAGACATACTACAGGGAAGTCATAATCAAAACAGCCTGGTACTGATACAAGGACTGATGGCTAGTTCAGCAGAACAAAATAGAAACACCAGACATCAATTCAAACTTCTACAACCAACTTTGATTAAGGAGAGAAACTCAATTCCTGGAGCAAGGACAGTCTCTTCAACAAATGGTGCTGGGAAAACTGGATTTCCACATGCAGAAGTATGAAGCATAACCCGTACCTTACACCTTACACAAAAACCCACTCATTACGGATTAAAGATCTCAATCTCTGACCCGACAACATCAAATTATTAGAGAACATTGAGGAAACCCTGTAAAACATTGGCAAAGGCAAAGACTTCTTGGAAAAGACCCCAGAGGCACAGGAAGTCAAAGCCAAAATTAACAAATGTGATTACTTCAAACTGAGAAGCTTCTGTACACCAAAAGAAACAGGAAAGTGAAGAGGCAACCAACAGAATGGGAGAAATTATTTGCAAACTATTCAACTGATAAGAGATTAATAACCAGAATATCAAAAGAGAACAAGAAACTCCACAACAACAATACGAACAACCCAGTTAGGAGATGGACCAAGGACTTAAACAGACATTTTTCTAAAGAGGAAATCCCAATGGCCAACAGATGCATGCTCAGGATCACTAGCAATCAGGGAAATGCAAACCAAAACCACAATGAGGTTTCACCTCACTCTGGTTAGGACAGCTTTCGTACAGATATCAACAAACAATAAATGCTGGCAAGGATGTTGGGGAAAAGGTACTATATCCACTGTTGGTGGGAATGCAAACTGGTATGATGACTATGGAAGGAAGTTTGGAGATTCCACAGAAATCTGAATATAGTCCTACCATATGACCCAGGCATCCCACCCCTCAGAATTTGCCCCAATGAAATGAAATCAGCAAATAAATGTTATCTGCATCTTCTTCTTTACTGCAGCTATTCACAATAGCTAAGAGATGGAATCAACCTAAATGCCCCCTCAATGCAAGTGTGGTTAAAGAAATTAAGGGGCAGAGAGTCCTGTGGCTTAGCAGGTAAAAGCCGCCATCTGCAGTGCCAGCATGCCATATGGGTCCTGGTTGTAGTCCTGGTTGCTCCACTTCCAATCCAGCTCTCTGCTATGGCCTGAGAAAGCAGTAGAAGATGTCCCAAGTGCTTGGGCCCCACGTGGGAGACCCGGAGGAAGCTCTTGGCTCCTGGCTTTTGATTGGCATAGCTCCGGCCTTTGCGGCCATCTGGGGAATACACCCGCAGATGGAAGGTCTCTCTCTGTCTCTCTCTCTTTCTCTCTGCCTCTGCCAACTGTACCTCTTTCAAATAAATAAATACCTAGAAAAAGAAATTATGGGATACTTACTCTGTGGAATGATAAACAGGACTAAAAAAAATGAAATCCGGGGGCTGGCACTGTGTCACAGCAGGTTAACACCCTGGCCTGAAGCGCCGGCATCCCATATGGGTACCGGTTCAAGATCTGCCTGCTCCACCTCTGTTCCACCTCTCAGCTATGGCTTGGGAAAGGAGCAGAAGATGGCCCAAGTCCTTAGGCCCCTAAACCGCATGGGAGACCTGGAAGAAGCTCCTGGCTCCTGGCTTCGGATCAGCGCAGCTCTGGCCACTGCGGCCATCTGGAAAGTGAATCAGCAGATGGAAGCTGGATCCTTCTCTCTAATTCTCAGTCGAGTCACTGTCTCTCTCTCTTCTACACTTTCAATAAAAATAAATCTTCATAAAAAATGAAATCTGGTCCTGTACAAGAAAATGGATGAGTCTAGAAAACATCATACTTAGTGAAGTAAGACAGCCCCAAAAGGACCAATACCATACATAACCTGGATGAGAAATTCTACCAGAAGATAGATATATTAATGAAAAATCAATCTGAAGTAATAGAAACAAAGAATTCAATATGCCATATAAAAACAGTGGAAATCCTTAACAACAGACCACAGTGTCTTGTTTGCTACATTGGAAAATATCTGAGGATTTGCATTTATATGTCTGTGAACAACATGAACAAAATATTCTTTCAATACCTTTGTGTAGTGTGAGATTAAAATCACATTTTCCTCTTAAGAACAATGTAGTTATAGCAGCCAACGTTCATTCTATGCAATGAGCTATTCTAAGCAGAGTATGTACTTTTTCTCATTTAATTCTCAAAACTACCCTCTACTTGGATACCTTTCCCACACTGGGTGAGCTCTAACATGGAGCCAACATGAATTACTCTGCCACACATGTGGGCATAACCTGGGTGGTGCCCTGCCTGATGGCTTTAAGATTGAATTATTCCAGAAGGGAATGAGGAAGAGAGTGAATGAAAAGGAAAAGAAAGGCACTATATATCTTCTGAGAAGGGCTAACACTTAGGAGTGACTCCAGACTTGCTGCCTCACCAGCTGACCACTCAGCACTTCTTTATCCAGTGTCACTGTGTTAGGACAGTTGGGAGCTGAATGTCGATGAAGTGGGGATTCTCCTTGATGATTCCTGACTTTGAAATGTGATGACTGCGCCAATCATTGTGAACACGGCTCATGAACACAACAGGGAAGATCCTTTGCTTCAGCACAAGACGGTCCTTGGGGATGCCCTCTGGGTTCTCGGATGAAATCATAGGGCCAAGAGGTGGAGTGGGTGACAGCCAAACATGTTTGTCATCCTGGGGAGTTTCAGCAGAGCACAGAGCCTCAGATGTGTAGCCTCAGGACAGAGATGGTCTCAGTCCTAACTGGCTGGGGAGGAGATGGTGCTTCATTAATCCACAATAAGAGGATTGAGAGGGTCCTCTATGGGAACTCAATATTGTGTGTATGCTTTCTGCAGTCATATATGCCTTGGACTTAGATATGGACCCACATATCTATTCCACTGTGTTTCCTCAGAAGAGGGAAACTTAGCCATCAGCTCTTACCTCCCTGCAGAGGACCACGGCTGCTCAGCTTGCTCATCTCCACTCACAGACTTCTGGCTATAACTGGTGGAGACTTTACTGTCATGAGCTTTCTGATTCTTCTCTTCCTGGCCCTGCACTTTCCACTCTTGGTGTGTGATTCAGAGTATGTCTCTTGTGCTTTTAAAATGAATGCCAGTGTATACCAGGACGGAGACCTGATTATAGGTGGTTTTTTCACACTTTATTCATTTATTGGTGAGTTACCAGGAGTTTGGATGGAATTCCAACGCCGCCCTAGCAAAAATGTGCATTTTTCAAAGTAAGTGGCTTTTCTTTTCCTCTTCTTTCTTTTTATAAAGTCTACTTTTTAAAAAACAATTATGGACAATGTCTAGGGAAGCTTATGGTGGTTAAACCAATCACACTGAATTAGCTTTCTCCTATCATTCTCTCATCCTCTAACTTCTTGTCCTTTAAAGTTGGAGAGAGAAATCAATTTTTCTTCCTTCAGCCCTACTTCCTTTCTACTTTCCATCTCCAACCCCCCTCCCCCCAAACACACATTAGAACTCTTTTCACAACTCTTGCCTCGCTGCGTGGACAGGGTATGAGTGAGAAGAGGGAATCCCCATCAACCACTGTTATCCCTGATCCATCCCTTCCTGGTGATCCTCACAAACAGTCCTTAGGCAACAGCACAGTGCTGACAGGTTGCCTAAAATGCTCGCCAACAGGCTGACATCTGATAATACTCCTAAGCCATGGAAGATCACTGCTAATAACCGTACAGGAAAGTACTCAGTGCAAAATCCTACCTTTAGAAATAGAAGTTTATATCAACTTTTAGTCAGATTCTAGATTTTTCATTTTATCCCACCAGGAATGATTCAGACCTTGGATGCCTAGACAGGAACATGGAATAAACAGCCTGGCAGGCCATTCAATTAGATATATAAATATCTCCCCAATTAGGTTCTGCTCATAAAAAAGATAGGGACATACTTGAGAATGATACCATCTCCTCAGATTAATAATTATTTGCCTAAAACATCTCTTCATTCTTCAATGTTGCCTTGCACGTCTTTCTCTCCACAATTTTACAAAATGTAGTTCAAATATATCTTTTTTATTGTGTTTGATTTACATGTACTCAATTCCCCAGGTTTGGCTGGAGCTGCTGAAATGGTGAGTGAAGACTGGTGAAATTGTGGCTTCCCTTAATCCACCCACCTACCCATCAGTCAGCTCCCCCACTCTTTACTGGCGTTTTGACACTGCTTGCTAATTCTTCTGTTTGTTTCCTCTCCAATTCAAGAGTTCTTCATGAAAGAACTGATAATATTATTTTTATTTTTTTATTTTATTTTATTATTATGTTATGGGACATTAGATTTATTCCTTCATTTTTGTGCTAAACTATTCTTTATGACTTAATAAATTAGATACCAAATCTGATTACCTCCTTAGTGAGCTACTGAATTAGACACTTTAGATCAAAACATGTGAACTACTTACCTAATTGCTTTCTGTCTTACTTGAGGAAAGTAATTTGCCATTTATACAGTTTAAACCACAAAGAACCAAATTAAATTGACATCTATGTTCTACTTCTTTCACCATGAAAAAAATGTTCATTCAAGAAGTGACTTTCTCATATGTGGGCTTCATGTACACTCAAGCAAGAGTACTTTTTTCATGGATTGCTTTTAGGGAGGATATACTGTTTTCAAAAATATATATGCAGTCTATTTATGCCCTTTAATCTTTTGATGTGTTTCTACAACTAATCACTACTAGTTTTACTTCTTATTCCCAGAAACCTTGGATTAGGAGGCTTTCTGGAGCTGAGGCAATCCCTAAAGGGAATGACAGCACTCTCAGAAGTTGGGGCAACAAATCCTTCATTGAACTAACAACGCCACTACTGAGATAGAACTTGTATGACTTTTCTCATTCATTTTGTTGTGATGCTGAATTATGTTGATTGGTTTTCTTTTTTCTTTTTTTTTTTAATCTTTTATTTAATGAATATAAATTTCCAAAGTACGACTCATGGGTTACAATGGCTTTCCCCCCCCACCGTCCCTCCCACCCACAACCCTCCCCTTTCCCACTCCCTCTCCCCTTCCATTCACATCAAGATTCATTTTCGATTATCTTAATATACAGAAGATCAGCTTAGTATACCTTAAGTAAGGATTTCAACAGCTTGTTCCCACACAGAAACATAAAGTGAAAAATAATAGATGATTTTTTTTTAAATCATGATGAAATCAGATCAGACCTATTGTCATGTTTAATCCCAGTGAGAGTCAAGTTGGGAATTGAAAATTTCTTTTTTTTTTTTTTTTAACAGAGGATCAGTTTAGTATACATTAAGTAAAGATTTCAACAGTTTGCACCCCCATAGAAACACAAAGTGAAATATATTGTTTGAGTACTCGTTATAGCATTAAATCTCAATGCACAGCCCATTAAGGATAGAGATCCTACATGAGGAGTAAGTGCACAGTGACTCCTGTTGTTGACTTTACCAATTGACACTCCTGTTTATGGCATCAATAATCTCCCTATGCACCAGTCATGAGTTTCCAAGGCTATGGAAGCCCTCTGAGTTCTCCGACTCTTATCTTGTTTAGACAAGGTCATAGTCAAAGTGGAGGTTCTCTCCTCCCTTCAGAGAAAGGCACCTCCCTCTTTGAAGACCTGTTCTTTCCACTGGGATCTCACTCACAGAGATCTTTTTGCCAGAGTGCCTTGGCTTTCCATGCCTGAAATACTCTCATGGGCTTTTCAGCCAGATCCGAGTGCCTTTAGGGCTGATTCTGAGGCCAAAGTGCTATTTAGGACATCCGCCATTCTATGAGTCTGCTGAGTATCTCACTTCCCATGTTGGATCACTCTCCCCTTTATTTATTCTATCGGTTAGTGTTAGCAGATACTAGACTTGTTTATGTGCTCCCTTTGACTCTTAGTCCTTTCATTATGATCAATTGTGAACTGAAATTGATCACTTGGAATAGTGAGATGGCATTGGCACATGCCACCTTGATGGGATTGAATTGGAATCCCCTGGTATGTTTCCAACTCTACCAATTGGGGCAAGTCAGCCCGAGCATGCCCCAAATTATACATCTCTTCCCTCTCTTATTCCCACTTTTATGTTTAACAGGGATCACATTTCAGTTAATTTTCAACACTTAAGAATAACTGTGTATTAATTACAGAATTAAACCAGTCATATTAAGTAGAACAGACAAAAAAAAATACTATGAGGGATAATATATTAAGTTGTCCATTAGCAGTCAGGGCTATGCTGATCAAGTCACCATTTCCCATAGTGTCCATTTCACTTCAGGAGGTTTCCTTTTTGGTGTTCAGTCAGTTGTCACCGATCAGGGAGAACATATGGTATTTGTCCCTTTGGGACTGGCTTAATTCACTCAGCATGATGTGTTCCAGATTCCTCCATTTTGTTGCAAATGACTGGATTTCGTTGTTTCTTACTGCGGTATAGTATTCTAAAGAATACATATCCCATAATTTCTTTATCCAGTCTACTGTTGATGGGCATTTAGGTTGGTTCCAGGTCTTGGCTATTGTGAATTGTGCTGCAATAAACATTAGGGTGCAGACCGCTTTTTTCTTTATCAATTTAAACTCCTTTGGGTAAATTCCAAGGAGTGGGATGGCTGGGTCGAACGGTAGGGTTATATTCAGGTTTCTGGTTTTCTAATACTGGCAAACCCTGCTGGATTCGATTGACTAGTATCTCGTCAATGATTTCTTAATCTATGTTCATGGATGATAGTCAACATAGAAGATTAGTCTCTACTTTTCTTACAATGCATTTTAATATGAGGCCTATGCTGGCCTCACAAGATGAACTGGAACATGTTCTCAAATTTCTTTAAGAGTTTGTACATAATTTTTAACATTTATCAGTGAAACCCATCTGATACTGGATCTTTCTGGGTTAGAACTATTTTAAACATAAATTCAATTTCTTTAATAGATACAAGGCGGTGCAGGTTTTCCATTTCTCACTCAGTAAGTGTAATAATTTGAGTCTTCAAAGAATTTACCTGTTCACAGATGTTTTCTATTATGTTGCCATAATATTGTTAATATTATCCCTTCGTTATCATTATTATGTCTGTAGTATGTTTTGGTCTCATTTTAACTCCTGTTAATGGTAATTTTGATCTCTTAATTTCCCAAAAAGGTTAATGAGAGGCTTCAGAATTTTATTTACTTTTTCAAAATCCTACCTTTCTTTCTTTCCTTTTTTCTCTTTCATTAACTGCTGCTTCTTTATCACTTTCTTCCTTCTTGCTCTGACGTTAAGCTGATCTTCCTTTTCCTGTTCCTTCGGGTACAAAAATAATAATTCATTTCATAATGTGTTAGTTTTGTTATTCCTTCTCTAACATTACCACAATCTTAATAGTCAAATAGCACAAATTTATCATATTACAGTTCTGTAGGTCAAAGCCCAACGTGAGTCTCACTGCATCAACATTAGGATGTGGAGAGAACTCTGTTCCTTTCTGGATGCCTTAAGAGAAGATGCATTTCCTTGCTCATTTGCGCTGTTAGCAGAATTCAGTTCTTTGTAGTTGAAGAACTGATCTCCCGATTTCCTTGCTTGCTACGAGCTAAGGGTTGCTCCCAGATTCTTGTGGCCATGCACATTCCTGGGTCCATGGCCTCCTCTCTCTATCTTGCCAACAAAGGTAACTTGAGTCCCTCTGGCACTTTTAAGATTTCATTTATACATTCAAGAGAGAGTCATACAGAGGGGGGAACTGAAGAGACAGAGAAAAAGATCTTCCATCTGCTGGTTCACTACCCAAAGGGTTGCAACAGCCAGAGCTGGGACGTGAAGCCAGGAGCCAGGAGCTTCTTCTGGGTTTGCCATGCGGGTGCAGGGTCCCAAACACTTTGGTCATCTTCCTCTGCTTTCCCAGGCAGTAGAATAGCAGAGAGCTGTATCAGACCACTGGTTTATTCTCCATTGGCTGCAACGGCTGGAGCTGCACCAATCTGAGCCAAGACCAAGGAGCTTCTTCCAGGTATCACATGCAGGTGCAGAGGGGAAGGACTTGAGCCATTTTCTACTGCTTCCCTAGGCCATAGCAGAGAGACGGATTGGAAGAGGAGCAGCCAGGACTAGAACTGGTGTCCATTTGGGTTGCATGTGCTGCAGGCAGAGGATTAACCTACTGCACCACAGTGCTGGCTGCATTTCACTTCAGTTTTAATTGTGTCTCAAAAGGTTTTATATGTTAAATATTCTCATATTCAACTAGAATATTTTCTATTTTTCCTGTAACCAATGGGTTATTTAAAATTAAATTCCTTAGTTTTCAATTTGCTTGGTTTTTTTGAAGATTTATTTTATTAATTTGACCAGCAGAGTTACAGAGAGAGGTAGAGACAGAGAGAGGTCTTCTATCTGCTGGTTCATTTCCCAGATGGCTGCAACAGCGGGGCCAGGAGCCAGGAGCTTCCTCCAGGTCTCACATGCTGGTACAGGGGCCTAAGGACTTGGGCCATCTTCTACTGCTTTCCCAGACCATAGCAGAGAGCTGGATCAGAGAGGAGCAGCCGGGACTAAAACTGGCGCCCATATAGGATGCCGGCACTTCAGGCCAGGGCATTCACCCACTGTGACACAGCTCCAGTCCTTCATTTTTTTTTTTTTGTATAAGGAGTTAACCAACAGACAGCAAGAATTTACAATGTGTTGGCTTTTAAACACCCAGTTGTTCCTAACTATTCTAGGTCTAGAAAAAAGTCATAATCTTTCAGTGCCTATTTATTAATTCTCTGTTACTGCACAACTCCTTTCATGATGACTATGAAATACTGCCTGAGTTTTTCACCTTTAGTACTTGACAGATTTACACACCTCTGAGTGACACAAATACTTAGGCAGGAGATTGTTGCCTCTTCCTGGGTCCTTTTCTGGTCTCCACCTCTGTTTTTCATATCTTTCTAGTTCATTAACTAGTTCATTTCTAGTTCTAACTTTCTCATTCTGCCTGGATCCTTGGCACTGAATTAATGCAGCTCCATACATAGTAACTCAAAAATAGCCTCCTCACGTGCTCACCTCCAAACTGAAAATTCATCAAGCCTATTCTTTGATACCTACTTTTAGAATATATATCATGAAGTTAGGGTCTTCTAGAGCCCAAGTTAAAATAATTCCTTAAGTCCAAATTCTCAGTCCTGAGGAGGCACAGCTGCTCCCTACCAGTGAATAAGTTCACTGGGCTTTCTTTCCCCCCAGCATACTCTATTTTCCTTGAATTAAAAGAAAATCTTAAATCACATTGTTTGAACCTTTTATTAAATACATTTATGATTTCCATGCAGGTTTTACTCATCAAACTACCAGTATGTCCTAGCCTTTGTTTTTGCCATTGAAGAGATCAACAGGAACCCCTACCTTTTACCCAACATATCCCTAGGATTTGATCTCTACAATGCATTGCACAGTGAGAAACGGACTTTGGAAAGTTGCCTGATGTGGTTGTCTGGACTAGGCAAGGTGATCCCTAACTATTCCTGTGTGAGAGAGGGCAAGTCTGTGGCAGTTACTGTAGGAACCACGTGGGCGATTTCAGCTCAGATGGGAACATTACTGGAACTCTACAAATATCCACAGGTAAGATGCCATGGGGTGGGGAAGAATGGAATCTTATCTGCTGTGATGCCATTTTTGGATGTCTAAAAAATGAGCCTAGTAACCACCTTACATTTCAGAGGTCTTAAAAAAACAAACCTAAACACACACATTTTACTTTCCTGGAAGCCATGTTTATTGGGATTTGGACATTTTTATGAGGCTCTATGATAATAGCAACATATTTGATTTGGTGAGAGTAGATGAATTTTCTAATAGTGCAATTTTTAGACTCTGTTAATTCCCCATTATTCCTGATTTTGCAAATTATCCAGTATTTTTCCCTGTTCCTCTCTTTCATATTATATGCATTTGTAAGAGTCATCTCATTCATTTAACCTTCTGCCTGGAAAACTATTTTTTCCAAACCCATAAGTTCATTTTGGTACATTTTCTACCTTCCTAGTTATGATAGGTGACACTTCTAACACAGTTTTTAAAAACTTTATTTATTTATTTGAAAGGCAAATTAAGAGACTGGTGGGGAGAGATAGAAAGAGAGATCTTCTATTCACTGGTTCACTCCCCTAAATGGCGGCAAGAGCCATGACTAGACCAGGCCTAAGTCAGTAAATTGGAACTTCATCCAGCTCTCCAAAATGGCTGGGAGGGGCCCATGTACTTGGACTATCTTCAGTGGCTTTCCCAGGTACATTAGCAGGCTGGATAGGATGCAGAACAGCTAGGACTTGAACCAGCACTCCTGTATGAGATGCCAGCATCACAAGGAGTGGCTTAACCACTGCAGAACAACACCAGCCCCAGTTTTGTCACATTTTTTCTACAACAGAACATGGAAACATCTTTTAGTCTCCTATAGAAGTTCTATGACTGTTTTTCCAAAATCCCCTAACAGTTTTTCTCACCACATGACTATGTTTCCAACCCACTAGTACATTTTTTATAAAAGTACCCTACTTCTAGATACAAATTTCTATATCCATGTGTTATTGCCATGATGATGCTTTCCTCAAAAAACTATAGTTAAAACTCTAACTCAAAACAGCATGTATTCTCATTTATTGTTGTGGTCACCTGATCTAGGCTGAACTAAGAGGAGTGCAGGTACAGTTGGATTTGCTTCTATTCTTGTTCATTCTCAAGTCTGCTCTACATGTGTTCCTTTTGAAGCCTGGACTGAAAGAAGAGCAAATACATGAGGAAACAAATTTCCATTCTAATAAAATAAATGCAAAGGGCCCTTCATAACTGAGTAAGCACATTTCAAGTGTGTGACTATGTTCATTAACATCATTTTGACATAATTAAGTCACATGTCAAGCACAGTCAAGGAATAGGGAAGTAAATTATATTTCCAGGAATAATAATTGTAAAATTACATCAAAATGGCCTTCATATGCAAGAGTAAAGAATTTGGGTCAATAAGTCAAATTCCTATTGAGAATTAGGAGGAAGGAATAATTGGGGGGAGCCACAATTGCCTAAAGTTTCTGGGACTTTTGAGTTTGAACAATCATTTTATAGGGAACTCTCATACTAAGAGTAATGCAAAAAATGCAACAAGCCAAGCTACTCTAGGATTACTTTAAAACACAAGTAACACTTGAAACAGTAGTCAGATAATCTCCATGAGTTCCTGTAACCATTAACCTTTAGTGGGATTCGCTGATGGGTCTATGTTTTTCTTTTCCCATTTAGCTCACTTATGGCTCTTTTGATCCCATCCTGAGTGACAGGAGCCAGTTTCCATCTATCTATCAGATGGCCCCCAGAAACACAGCCCTGGCCCTTGGCATGGTCCGGCTAATGCTACATTTTGGGTGGACCTGGGTTGGACTGGCTATTTCAGAAGACATGAAGGGTATTCAGTTTCTCTGGGACTTAACAGGAGAGATGGACAAGAATGGCATCTGTGTGGCCTTTGTGGAAATGATTCCTATCACTGAGAGGGCCTATTTCTCATTGGCCTGGCAATACCACTACAGAATACGAGATTCCTCAGCAAATGTGGTGGTCATTTATGGTGACTCGGACTCACTTCTAGGACTAAGTTTTTCAACGTGGAACATTCTGATGACAGGGAAAGTCTGGATCACTACGTCACAGTGGGATTTTGTCTTTTCTGACAGTTATTCCCTGTTGGACTCATTCCATGGGACTCTGACTTTTTCACAATCCCATAAGGAGATCCCAGGTTTCAAGCAGTTTCTTCAGGGGGTTAACCCTGCTAAATACCCACAAGACTTTTATCTTGCTAAATTGTGGTTCCTGCATTTCCATTGCTTGCTTTCTGAGACTGACTGTGGAAAATTGGAGAGCTGTCCCCCAAATGTCTCTTTGGAGTCTCTCCCTTTGCATACCTTTCATATGACCACATCTGATGGGAGCTACTATGTATACAATGCTGTGCATGCTGTGGCCCAAACCCTTCATGAACTTCTTTTTCATCTGTCAGAAATGCAATCACCTGGACATGGAGAGAAGCCAGTGGTTCACCCTTGGCAGGTAATGTTCCAGTTCAGGCAGGTGCTTCCTGGTGATCTATTGATTCTCAACTCAGCCCAAATACATAATCAAATGTAACCTTTTCAGAACTTAAAAACAGGAAATCAAAATTTTGAGTTCTTCCTCAGAGTTACAGTATGTTATGAGCTTTATTGCCTAGGAGGGATACCTACATGGTTTCACATTCAACTTGTGTAGGAACAGCCACAAAGAGAAAGTGCCAAAGGCAAAGAATTTTGAAATTTGTGAGCCAATGTGAACTCTGTTGTCACAAAGAGGCTCCAAGCCCTGCCAATCTGATTTTTTCAGTATATTATTATATGTCTGAATTTCTTGATTTCCTTAAATAAATAAAAAGTAAAAGGAATATCAGTTCCTGAGGTACATATGTCAAGTCTGGCAATGGAATGATTGATTTAGTATTTTGATCCTATGTACATATATAGAAAGGACAAATAAGCGATATACCTGTGTACATGTGTATGACTTTTTCTTATCTAATAATTAGGCAATACTTTATCCCCATTTTGAAGATGAATAAAGAGGAGTTTTGAAAGATTTCTGATGAAAATGGGTCACACTAAATTTGACTTTGTGGTGTTTTCTGAATTTAATGCCTAGAGGTTGTTGTTGTTCTCATGTTCTGAAGCAAAAAGTTGTGACTGACAGGGAAGTGACTCTATTGCGTCTGGTGCTTTGTTGGCTAATTTACTAATTGATTTCATGGGTATGCCTATTGCTAATATAATATATATATATATATATATATATATATAAGCACATATAAAAGAGTAAAGGAGTTATCCAACGTCACACAGCTAACAGAGCTTGAGTCCACATCCAGAATTCTCTCTACCATCTAACTGCATCTGTTCCAGCTCCACTCCATTCTGAAGAGAGTGCAGTTTAACAACAGTGCTGGCGACCAGATAATTTTAGACCAACAAGCAACCCCTGTGGAAGAATACGATATCCTCAACTTCTGGAATTTTCCTGATGGACTTGGGCTTCAAGTGAGAGTAGGACATTTTGTCCCACTGGCTCCACGTGATCAAGATTTTTCCATACATGAAGAGTTGATAGATTGGGCTTTTGAGTTTAAAGAGGTTAGTTGGACAGAGTTTCTTGGCTATATATGTATGACACATAGCTACTCAGAAAAGAACCCAGTCATGGGGACTTTGGTGATCTCTTTCTGCTCAGTGAAAGAACACAGTTGCCTGTTACAACTTAAGTAATTTTCCTTTCTTTCTCAGTGTCAGCGACCTGGGAAAATTGCATATAATCAATCACATGCTTCTAAAATCTGGGAGAGTTCACATCATAAAGCAGGAGAGTACTTCAAAAGTGTGTGGAATATGGAAAGAAACATCTGTGTGCCAAATTTTTTGACTCCATGCAGTTTTTTATAATATGCATTTTCCATGAATATTCTCAAGAATGCATGGATTTCAAAGAATTGCTGCACCATAATAAATTTATCTTTTAATTTCATTTTCCTTATAAATATTTTTGAAGTACCGCAGATAAGAGCATCCAATCTAGCCATTGGGTTACTTTTTTAACCTGACATATAATGAATTGTACATGTAATATAGTGTGATAATCTGATTTGTATGAAAGTGCAATGTAAAAATCAGGGTAGTTAGCCCTGTCATCACCTTAAGCATTTATAATTTCTTTATGTTTGCCTCTTGGCCTCCATACTCTGCTCGATGCTTTATAAAAATATATAACAAATTATCAGGGCCAGTGATGTGGCACAGTGGGTTAATGCCCTGGCCAGAGTTCTGGCATCCCATATGGGCATCCATTCGAGTTCCAGCTGTTCCACTTCGGAACCTGCTGTCTGCTATGGCTTGGGAAACCGGTAAAAGATGGCCCAAGTCCTTGGGCTTCTGCACCCACGTGGGAGACCTGGGAATAGCTCCAGGATCTTGGCTTTGGATCAGTCCAACTCTGGCTGTTGCAGCCATTTGGGGAGTAAAATAGTGGGGGCAAAATCTCTCTGTGTGTGTCTTTCTGCCTTCAAAATGAATAAATTTTTTTTAAAATACATACATGCATACATATATATGAATATGTATATTACAAATTATTATAATCTATGGTCCCCCTACTTTGCACCACAACACCAGAACTTACTCTTCTCATCTAAGAGTATTCTGGTAGCCTGTTATCCTCCCACAGCCACACTGTCTAGCCTCTAGTGACCACTGCTCTATTCTCTTTTTCTGTAAATGAGACTTGTAGGTACTGTCGGAAACATCTGCTTATCCACAGACTGGACCATATTTGAGATGGTTAACAAGTCTGATTCTTTCAGACTCCTCGCTCTTTGTGCAGCAAGAACTGTGGCCCTGGATTCAGGCAAAGTCCTCAGGAGGGAAAGGCTGCCTGCTGTTTTGAATGCACGCCCTGCCCAGAGAGGGAGATTTCCAATGACACAGGTATAGATTCAGAGGAATTCCCACCTCCTCCTCCCGCTTACATTCCCATTGGTCCAAAAAAATGAGAAACTGGAATAGACTGAAAATTCAGCCCTTCTTTCAATTCTTCCATCAATTCATTAAAAATTAACAACCCTCCCCAGAGAAGGATACTCTTCCTTTGACCTTGCTTGTACCTACTCTCTTTTTGGCCCTTTGAATTACTTTTTCAAGAAAATATTTTGAAGGATCAAACCTGAGTGACCTGCATTTATTTCTACCATAGAACGTACTACACAGTATTATGAGTATCTAGGGTTGAAAATACACATCCATTTCAATTACACTCTGAACACTGAAGGTTTGAATCCTACTCAACTTCATGTCTCTAGCATCTAGCACCATTCATGACACAAAGCATTCAGAAATAAGCTCCACAGTTGAACAAATGAATGAACATCCTGTATTACTGCTATGAGTCAGCCACTGTGGAATGTGCTGAGGAGACATTAGAGTTATCCAGCTGCTGTAAGAGACCCTGCTCCTAGAGTTCTAAAGCAAGGAGAGGAAAAAACGTGATGAAAAATTTCAGGCTACATGGCAAGGGTCACGATCCAAGTGCAGTAAGTGCAATGACCTAGGGAGTATCTAACTGAAAAAAAATGAATATTGATATTGACCAAATAGCTCAAGGAACAAGAGCACTTAAGCAGTCCATAGAAATGTAAATGAATGGATAGAAATCTATTAAATAATTTACATGCAGTGCTCATAGACTGCCACTTCTGAAAAGACCAAGCAGATGGACTTCTCCCTATTTTTCTTTCTATCGACAAATCCTAGACAGGATTAAAAAAGAAGCATAATGAGACCATGAAGAGGGCAGTTGGAAGAAGGCAGATTGGATACTGGCTGGGAAGCTTAGAGTGAAGTCTCAGTCATCTCTATACCTGCAGGAGTGGGAAATTTTCTGGTTACATCTCAGGTTACCAATGCATACTTGGCTTTGAGTAACTGAATCCAGGATATGTCCTAATACTGATATTTGAATGATACTGAGTACAAGTTTTGTTTGTTAGAAAAATCTAATGTCTTATACTTGAAATATGAAAAAGATGTGATATTAGGGCTCTTTGGTCCTTGATATGCCAACAAAAAATAAACATCATTGAACTTGTAGTTTCCCTCTCTGGAACATTCCTGTATTTGTCGTCTAATTACAGCAACTCAGCCATTGAGCAAATTCTGAGAGTTCTACAGAATTCTGGAACCCAAGATCATGGCACTTTGCTTTTCTTCCAGATATGAAGCAATGCATCAAGTGTCTAGATGACCAATACCCAAACAGCAAAAGAGATCACTGCCTGCCAAAGGTTGTAACTTTCTTGGCATATGAAGATCCTGTGGGGATGGTGCTTGCCTGTGCAGCTCTTTCCCTGTCTATCCTCACAGCTGTGGTTCTTGGAGTCTTTGTGAAGCACAGAGACACTCCCATAGTCAAGGCTAACAACCGAACTCTTAGCTACATTCTGCTCCTGTCCCTCATCTTGTGCTTCCTCTGCCCCCTGTTCTTCATTGGCCAACCCAACACTGCCACCTGCATCCTCCAACAAATGACATTTGGAGTGTTATTTACTGTGGCTGTTTCTACTGTTCTGGCTAAAACCATCACGGTGGTACTGGCTTTCAAGTCCACAATGCCAGGGATGAAGATGAGGCAATGGTTGCTATCAGGGGCACCCAATTCTATCATTCCCCTCTGCTCACTCGTTCAAGTGACTTTCGGTGTTGTCTGGATGGTAATCGCTCCCCCTTTCATTGACACCGACGCACATTCTGAGCCTACTCTCCTTATCATGGTTTGCAACAAGGGCTCTGTGATTATGTTCTACATTTTCTTGGGCTACTTGGGCTCCTTGGCTATGGGGAGCTTCACTTTGGCCTTCCTGGCCAGGAGCCTGCCAGACACGTTCAATGAAGCCAAGTTCTTGACCTTCAGTATGCTGGTGTTCTGTAGCGTTTGGATTGCATTCCTCCCTGTGTATAACAGCACCAAAGGGAAGTTCATGGTGGCTGTGGAGGTCTTTTCCATCTTGGCTTCCAGTGCTGGGTTACTTGTATGCATTTTTGCCCCCAAGTGCTATTTTATTCTTCTCAAGTCAGAGAGGAATATCCTGCCAGGATCAAGAAGTAAAGCAAAGTCTCGATAAAAAGAAGCAGTATAACCATTTCATGAAACATTCTGAGATTCCAAGAGATGCTGCTCTTAAACTAGGGAAAATAGCAGAAGCAAAGTGCAAGAAATGAATTCCCAGGGACAGTTGGAGATGCTTGCAGTGGAAATTCTATGGAGGAAGATGGATGCCGTTGAGCGGTGTGGAAGGTGCAGACACACAGCGACAATCAGAGACACCACCCACAACCCCTGCAGCCAGGAGCTTGAAGAGATGCCAGCATTGTAGAGCAAGGGGAGGGCAGACTGTGGCAGCCCTTGCCAATGGTGATACTGCCCAAGGGAGGGCCCTGTGTCCCACACTGTCTTTCAGTCCAGCCTGGATCACTAGTGCGGGCAGAGTACCTGCCCAATCCACGGAAAGAAAAGCAAATTTCTTTTCCCCATACTCCTATAAGGACACCCAGCAACTGGCAGGAAGAGGGTGCCATTTTGACACCAATGGATGCTGTGGCAGCTCAAGTGCATGCCTCTGACCAGGGGAATTGACCAGAGGGAAAAAGCTGTGTTCTCCACTGACTCTGCATCTGGCTGGGAGGGTTGACAGGGAGCTGGGCACCAATGTAGGACTGTGCGTGGTCCCCATCCTCTCAGCATATCACAGGCTCCAAGGCTCAAACTGCCAAGGCAGAGCTCCCACAGGCAGCTGTCTCTGGGAATGTTTCTATTCTTCTCCTGGATGGAGAAGGCTCGAGGGGCTGAGCAGATCCTCTGTATCCCGTGACTGTGGGAGCCCTGCCATCCGTGACTGTAGGAATTCTGTAACTGCACAACAGGGCACAGGATGCAGCTGGATCTCTGGGCAATCACTCTATATGACTCCACATATTTCACAACCTCTGACAACGTGGGGTGTGTCATGATAACTCATGTGCCAGGGTGGATGGGGGGTTGTACACACAGTGGGCTAACCCCAGGTATTGATCACCTTAGAAGAGAGGAGGTCAGGTTGGGATTATACCAACAGACTTGATCATACCCTCTCACCTGCTGACAAGTAAGGAGATCTTCCAGGTCTAACTGGAGTGTCACTCTAGATTCCCGACCCATCAGAGAGCACTGACTAGAGCTCCCTGGCCACACCCAGCACACATCTCTGGTATTCACTGAAAGAGCAGGCACCCACTAAGACATAGTTCAAGATAAAATTTATCAGAGGAGATAACCAACAATCATTTACACAAATGTTTAAAAATAAACACAGAAATTCAACAAGAATAAGGAAGACCTGATTTCCCCAAAGGAACACAACATTTCAATATTAGAATGTGAAGAAAAAGAGGTTGATGAAACACCTGAAAAGCAATTCAACCAATGATCATAGGATTACTCAGAAGTAATGAGAAGCAAATCTATGTTACAGAACTCCATACATGATGTGGATGAAAAATTATGCCCTGAGATTGAGATTTTGCAGAGAAATCAAATGAAACATTAGGAATGAAGAATTCATGGAGTTGGCATTGTCACATAATGGACAAGGCCACCATCTACAGTGTAGCATCCCATATGGGTGCTGGTTCAAATCCCAGCTGCTTCACTTCTGATCCAGCTCTCTGCTTTGGCCTGGGAAAGCAGTGCAAGATGGCTCAAGTCCTTTGGCCCCTGCACCTGTGTGGAAAACCCTGAGGTAGCTTCAGGTTGGCGCAGCTCCAGCTGTTGCAGCTATTTGGGAGTGAACCAGTAAATTGAAGACTTCTCTTTCTCTCTCTCTCTGCCTATATCTCTCCGTAACCCTGCCTTTCAAATATATAAATAAATAAATCTTTAAAAAAAATACAGGTGAAAACCTTAACAACAGATTTTGTGAGGCAGAAAAAAAAATCTGAGCTAGAAGACAAATCTGTGGAAATATCTCAGTCAGATCAAAACAAAAGAAAAATAAATTAGAAAATTTAAAAATACTGCTTGAGAGTTATGGGATACTATCAAATGACTCAACATAGGGGTCTTGGGAGTTCCTGAGGATATCGAAATAGAGAATGACTTAAAAAGGCATATTTAATGAAATAATACAAAAAACTTCCCAAATTGCAGAACGCAGGGAATATCCACATAGAAGAAGCACACATAACTCCAAATAAAATGACCACAAAATATCTTCAGCTTGACACATTGTAGTCAACATTTAAACAGTAAACATTTTTAAAAAAAGATTCTATCTTGATGAAGAATGGGATGCGAGAGGGAGTGGGAGATGGGAGTTGGGATTGTTATGGGTGGGAGGAAGATTATGGGGGGAAAAGCCGCTATAATCCAAAATTTTTACTTTGGTAATTTATATTTATTAAATAAAAGTTGAAAAAAGATTCTAAAAAATACATGAGAGAAATGCCAACATCCCTTCATGATAAAAATCTTAAGCAAATTGGGTATAGAAGGAACATTCCTCAACACAATCAAGGTAATAAACAAACCAACAACCAGCATCATACTGAATGGGCAAATATTGGAACCATTCACAGAGAGACTTGAACCAGACAAGGATGCCTACTCTCAAGTTTTAGCCAGAGCCATTAAGCAAAAGAAAAAGAAATAAAAAGAATACAAATTAGAAAGGAGGAAGCCATATTATTCCTGCTTTCAGATAACATGATTTTATACATAGGAAAAACAAAATACTTCACTAAGAGACTACTGGAACTCATAAAAGAGTTTGGTAAAGTAGCAGGATACAAAATTAATAGTAAAAATCAATAGCCTTTGTAGACACAGAATTTGCCATGACTAAGAAATAACTTCTGATTTATTTATTTATTTGAAAGAGTTACACAGTGAGAAGAATGGCAGAGAGAGAGAGAGAAAGAGAGAGGTCTTCCATCCAATGGTTCACTCCCCAGATGGGTTTGGTTTGCTGTATTTTTTCTAGATCCTTGAGATGCATTGATAGCTCATTTATTTGGTGCCTTTCCAGTTTCTTGATATAGGCCCATATTGCTATAAACTTTCCTCTTAACACACTGCTTTTCCTGTATCCCATAAGTTTGGGTATGTTGTGTTGTCATCTTCATTTGCTTCCAGAAAGTTTTTGATTTCTCTTTTTATTTCTTCTATGACCCATTGTTCATTCAGGAGCATGTTGTTCAGTCTCCATGTGCTTGCATATGCTCTAGGGATTCCTGAGTTGCTAATTTCTAACTTCATTCCATTGTATTCTGCGAAGACACATGGTATGATTTCCATTCTTTTGAATTTGCTGAGACTTGCTTTCTGGCCTAGTATGTGGTCAATCCTAGAGAAGGTTCCATGAACTGCTAAGAAGAATGTGTATTCTTCAAGTATAGTATCAAAAGTTCTGTAGATATCTGTTAGATCCATTAAGTCTATAGTTTTGATTAAATCTGCTGTTTCCTTGTTGATTTTCTGTCTGGTTGATCTGTCCAGTGCTGAAAATGGAGGATTGAAGTCCCCCAATACTATTGTATTGGAGTCTAAGTCTCCCTTTAAGTTCCTTATCTTTTAAATAAACCAGTGCCCTGTAATTAGGTGTATATACGTTTATAATAGTTACATCTTCCTGTTGAATCCCTTAATCATTATATAGTGTCCCCTCTTTGTCTCTCTTAACAGTTTTTGTGTTAAAGTTTATTTTGTCTGATAGTAAGATGGCTATGCCAGCTCTTTTTTGATTTCTGTTGGCATGGAATATCTTTTTCCAGCCTTTCACTTTCAGTCTGTATGCATATATGTTGGAAAGATGTGTTTCTTGTAAGCAGCAAAGAGATGGGTTTAGTTCCTTAACCCATTCAGCCAACCGGTGTCTTTTAACTGGAGAGTTGAGGCTTTACATACAATGTGACTACTGATAAGTAGTGACTTTGCCCTGCCATTTTCCCAAAGATATTTTCTAGCATATGCTTTGAGTTTCCCTTGCTCTTTTACTGGTAGGTTTTATTCCTTTACCTTCTTTCATGTTGATGACCGTGTTTCTGTGTTTCTGTGTGTAACACATCTTTAAGCATCTTTTGCAGGACTGGACAGGTGGCAACAATTCTTTCAATTTCTGTTTGCTATGAAAGGTCCTTATTTCACCTTCATTCACAAATGAGAGCTTTGCAGGATATAATATTCTGGGCTGGCAGTTTTTCTCTCTTAGTACCTGGGCTACGTCTCGCCATTTTCTCCTAGCCTGTAGGGTTTTTGATGAGAAGTCAGCTGTGAGTCTAATTGGAGATCCTCTGAGAGTAATCTGATGTTTCTCTCTTGCACATTTTAGAATCTCTTCTTTATGTTTCACTGTGGTGAGTTTGATTAGGATGTGTCGTGGTGAGGATCTCTTTGAGTCATGTTATTATTAGGGGTTCTATGAGCTTCCTGTACTAGGATGTCTCTGTCCTTCTCCAAACCCAGGAAGTTGTCTGCTAGTATCTCACAAAAAGGCCTTCTAATCCTTTCTCTCTCTCCATGCCTTCAGGAACTCCTAGAACCCAAATGTTGGTTTTTTTAATAGTATCCAGTAGATTCCCAACAATATTTTTTAGATTTCTAATTTCCTCTTCTTTTCTTTGGTTTGACTATATACTTTCCTGTGCTCTGTCTTCTAAGTATATTCTCTCTTCTGCCTCACTGATTCTGTTTTTAAGGCTCTCTAATGCGTTTGTCATTTGATCTATTGACTTCTTCATTTCTTTTTTTTAAATTTTTTTTTGACAGGCAGAGTGGACAGTGAGAGAGAGAGACAGAGAGAAAGGTCTTCCTTTGCCTTTGGTTCACCCTCCAATGGTCGCCATGGCCGGCGCGCTGTGGCCGGCCCACCACGCTGATCCGATGGCAGGAGCCAGGTGCTTCTCCTGGTCTCCCATGGGGTACAGGGCCCAAGCACTTGGACCATCCTCCACTGCACTCCCTGGCCACAGCAGAGAGCTGGCCTGGAAGAGGGACAACCGGGACAGAATCCAGCGCCCCGACTGGGACTAGAACCCGGTGTGCCGGCGCCACAAGGCGGAGGATTAGCCTAGTGAGCCGTGGCGCCGGCTGAATTCTTCATTTCTTTATGATTTCTCTTCAATATCTCAATTTAAGTACTATTAAATTTGTCATTTCACTTTGATTCCTCCTTAAGGTTTCATTTTTATGAGAGAGATTTTTTTTAATGTCCTGCACGGATTTCTGTAGTTCATGCATTTGTTTTTGGTTACTTCTAAGTATTCTTCTCAATTTTCTGAGTTCCATTTCTTCTCTCTCATTGTCTTCTTAATTTTGTGTTGATGTGTCATGTTCTTTTCTTTTCTTTTTTCTTTTATTTGGACAGGCAGAGTTAATGAGAAAGAGAGAGAGAGAGAGGTCTTCCTTTTCCGTTAGTTCCCCCTCCAAGTGGCCGTTACAGCCAGCGCATTGCGGCCGGCACGTTGTGCTGATCCGAAGCCAGGAGCCAGGTGCTTATCCTGGTCTCCCATGGGGTGCAGGGCCCAAGGACCTGGGCCATCCTCCACTGCACTCCCGTACCACAGCAGAGGGCTGGACTGGAAGAGAAGCAACTGGGACAGAACCGGCACCCCAACCGGGACTAGAACACGGGTGCTGGTGCCACAGGTGGAGAATTAGCCTAGTGAGCCATGGCACCGGCCTTTGTGTCATGTTCTTTTGAGAGCATCATGTTGTCTTCCTTGTTCTTGCTTCCT